ACCTATGTTCTCATCCTTTTGGACACCTTTTGTATGTGATGAAAAAAAATCGTCCATTATATAGCCATTATATTATCAGCTTTCCCCATGACTTTGTGTGACAATTAAAAGTGTATTCCTTTCCCTCTTTCATTTTTTTAAAATATCGACCGATTCTATTCCACTGTCCGAAACAGATTTTTGCAAGTATAGCTGAGAATAGCTGCCCGAGGACCATTCTCAGTAAAACTTTTTGTGTTTGACAGCCCATTGAACGAGGAAAGGTCGTAAAGGTGTTACGTGATCAAAAAGCAATACGTCTCCGCGAATGTATTGAAAGAGAAGCAGTTTTGGTTAAACAACTAATGGGTTAAAATGGCAAGAGCGGCTCGGTTAAAACCATCATCCCTCAACTAAAAGTTGGCTTACCAACATGTTCCGTCCTATACCTACTTATCAAAACCCATAAGTTAGTATTCAGCGATGATCTTGCGCCTACCGATCCATCATTGTTTAAGGATAAACCTAACATTAGCTGCGTAGGTGGGTCAACGGATAGAATAGCATGGTTTTTAACCCTAATATTTAACCAGTTGTTGAAACACATTCCAGCCCATCTTACGAATACCCAGATGTTTCTGAATCGTCTACGTATTGCGCGTAGCCCAGCAGCGCCTACGTGATGGGGTTCTTCGACGTCACCGTCTTCTATACAAACGTGTCGAATGACTCCGCTATGCAAGCCATCTGTGGACTCCTTACAACACGAAGGAGCAATGAACATGTATGGTTTCTCAATCCAGCAGTTGATGACAAACTTAGAGGAGTGCCTAAACTGCTTAATCTTCAGATAGTCCGGAAGGTATTACGCACAAATGAGAGGGCTGGTAGTGGGACAACGGCTGGCACCAAGCCTTGCCATTGCGTTCGCGTCTAAGGTGGAACCACCAGTAATCGACCTCGGGCCGTTACTCCACTGTAGATATATAGATGACTGCTTTGTCCTTTTCTCAACACAGAGGAAATTGGCAAATGTTTCGAGTTGTTGAACAAACAGTCAGAGTATTTTAAACTCACCCGAAAGAAACCAGAAGAAAACCGACTTCCATTTCTGAACGTTCAAATTAGCCTATCAGAAAACGGCTACATTACGAAGTGGTATCGAAAGCCAAGTAGTAAAAACATCTTGGTTCATTACCTCCCCTCTCACCCTCTCACACGAAAAGGGCGATTGGGAGAAACATGTTTATAACAGCTGCCATCGAGTGCACAGGAAGGGAACAGAGAGAAGAATCCCAGAACTTGGCACAGCAAATAGCCATTTTTAATGGCTACGAAACTGTAGCTCAAGATAGGTGTAGAGGAAACCAGAGGCCCCCCAACGATAGCTCTATCGATAATAAAATCCCATTTATCCTGCCCTTCATTTCAAATGAAGTAAGTGCAGATATAAAACGCTGTTTAAGAAGGGCCGGTCTAGAGAAATCGTTAACAATAACTGAAATGCCACCGAGTGATCTAAGACGCCTGCTAGTTCGTAACTCCTCTGTACGGTTGGTCTCAGCGTGACATATTTAGTGGAAGACTCGTAGAAAGCGGTGAGTGTGCAAAGAAGCTATGCTGCGCTCAACGTGATTGAAATCTTGGTTCAGCACTTTCTCTGTTTGGTTATAGAGGTGCTTGGTTGTGCAGATTGCAGTCAACTTGATCTTTCCAGGCTCTGAGGAAGGCGAAATCCGCTGAAGCGTCAGTTTGTACGTAAATAAAGAAATAAAATAACACCTCGCGTTAGCTAAGCAGAAGTAGAAAGAATTATTCTATCAATGCCGTGGTTAATAGGAAGTCGGACGTGGGAGTTACAACAAAATAGAGTTCATAACCGCTGTGTCTTCCAAGCTTTTGGCGATTGAGTTATATTCGTAAATTTTGCACCATATTAGAGCTGACGTCTTTGAGGCGGTTTCAAGCAATGTATGGCTACTTATGTATTTAGTACTACGGACTGAATATAGCACTATCATTACATGAATCTCAACCGCTGAGATTTTCAGCGAAGGCACACTGCTTTAAGCTGTCGTTTAATAGATTTAATCACATGTATCACCCGTAGCCCTGTTGATCGTAGAGTGAATCCAGCGGGCGTCAGTAAATCTTCCATTTCTCCCTGTCGTGTGGAAGAGTAATCCAGTGGGTTCTGCTCGCTCAAGGGACTCGTTGGGCATCATATCTTTCATCTAGGCTCTCTGTGAAGATCTCTGACCATCTGGTCGCTGGTCTTTCTGCAGTACGTCTATCATCCCGAGGAATCCAGTCACTAACCGCTCTTGTCCATCGGTTGTCATTCATACGCATTACGTGTCCGGTCCACCTTATCTTCGATTGTTTGACGTACAGAACGGCATCTTTGATTTTTGATCGTTGACGCAGGTCGGAGCTTCGGATCCCTTCTCTTACTTGTGCTGAATGCATACTCCTAGCATCCTCCTTTCGACTGCGCGTTCGATAACGCTGAGTGACCTACCTTTCATCCTGCTTACGCAGCGACCAGGTTTCTGACGCGTACGTTAATGCAAGAAGTATCGTTGAGTCGAAAAAGTGGGCACGGAGTCGCATGTTCTTTGTTCTCTTCACTATATCCTCAGTACTCTTGAAAGCTCCCCAAGCCGCTCGTTTTCTTCTGTTCAACTCTGGAGCTAAGTCGTTCATCATATTGATTTCCCAACCAAGATAGATATAACTGGAGCATTCAGAGATACACGTTCCGTTGAGCGTGAATAGGGCATGCGAAACCAGTCCGTTCTTCATGAACATCTTTTTGTGAGATTTAGCCGAAGACCAATCTTTCCACAGGCTTTATCAAAGTCGTCAAGCATACGTTCTGCTTGGCTAATGTTTGGTGTTATAAGGACGATGTCATCAGCAAAACGAAGATGACGTAACTGCCGACCATCGATTTTTACTCCCATATTATCCCATTCCAACGTTCGCATGACGTTCTCGAGGGTGGCGGTAAATAATTTTGGCGAGATGCTATGGCCTTGCCTAACTCCTGTTTTGACGTCAATGTTAATATCGTTGTAGAATGGTGATATCTTGGTTCTGAAATTTTTTGTACAGCTCACGAAGAATCTTTATGTTCTGAGCAGGGTATTCTTGACTATCAAGGGCTTCCAAGACTGCTTCTCTCTCAACTGAATAAAAGGCCTCTAAATCGATGAAAGTGAGACAGGGCGGTCTTTTGTACTCTCGTGATACTTCAGTGAGTCTTGTTATCGTGCGGATGTGGTCCATCGTACTAAATCCTCTTTGAAACCCTGCTTACTCACATGGTGAAGGCCCAATGGAGATATACAACCCAAGTCCCCAAGTTTTATCGGTTGAATATATACACCACTAAGTCTAATTCTTTGTGCTTGGAATATGAGACTATGCCCTAATTTTTCGCCGCCCGCAATGGGCATTAGAGCCAATGCGTAAGATCTGTACGTCACCAAACTCTGTTTCCCTTTAACTTTTTATTTACCATCTGTTAAATATCTTACGGTAGGGTATTACATGAAATGCAATCATAATAGTGCTGAGATATTTGCAAAACTTGGATCCCAGGCCAGATTGGTATCCGCGAATATCTTTTCCGGGGTTTTCAATTTTTGTGCTTTCTTTATCTCAGTTATTCAACGTCTTAAGTTATCAATAAGATATCTTCGATTTTGAAAACTGAAATGTCTCTCCACTTCATAGTAGGTTGCTCGGAAAATAGTGCAGCTTCGTCAACGCTTATCATTCTATAATATGCTTTAACAGTATAATTTTTCGAATAATGTGCTACCACACATTAATGGAAGTATCGGAACCACGGTGTGTAAGTATAGCGGAGATACTTCAGTACCGCAGTACCTCATAGCAGAACTCCGTAAGACGAAGTGAAACGGATTGGGATAAGAACAATGGGATCACAGAACAGAACAGAGGACCAATCTCATAAAAACGGTCAAAAACCCATATTTGCGCGAAAAGTTGCGGTTTGTGGGTTCGTAGGCGTACTGACTCTTCACAACCCTCTGAATCCTAGCTAGATCATCAGGAGGCAGAAATGCTTTTCTAGAAATGATGAAATTCACCAAAAACTGGATCATACGTACCAGTCAAGTCGGGAAGAAAGAGAGATCTAACATCCTTGCATGGCAACTCTCCGTCACATGTTGCACGATTCACACTGTAAAAGCTGAATGAATTGGACTAGGAAACGCTATCGGATCCAGCCTGCTCCTCCACTCTCTAACCATCCATTGGTACCACTTTTAAACAACAACCTGATAAACAGGTGTTCAAAAACGAAACCGCTGCTGAAAGCATCGGAACTTTGCCAGTTGAAGCACTTCAGAATTCATCCCTATCACAATAAATAACCCTATCTCGATAGAAAAGAACGCCTAGGTTCCAATGGATCACACCTTGGATTAATAAAATCCACTTAATACGTGTCTCTTTTAAATTGGAGGTTCAAAATCCGGCCTTTGTTCTGTACTAACCTGAACGTTTCCCCAAATATCGCGGTGGACGCAATTACGTACAAGTTCACTAAGTCGACAACATACTGCTGGAATGCAGCCTTCGTTAGGTTTTCATTCCAAGTTCCCAAAAGTCATTGTACTCTTGCCGTTTTAGGAATTTTTATGAGCTTTCAGATCAATGAACATTCCTGTATTTCTTGGCTCGTCAAAACTGGCAAGTTGCCTGTTTCGAATTCGTCTACCACAGCATTTTGCTTCAGCAGTGAAAGTACACTCATCCATAGTTGACTGTAAAGTGAGGAGGACAGAAAAGATTAAGAAGGTACGTGAATATTAAGACTTTCTCTTCCTCTTCTATATGAAGCACGGTGTACGCTGAAACCAATACACGGGTCCACCACCGTCCTGGTATTTAATTGGTCGCGTGGTGGCGACAGTCCTGAGAACACAAGGGAGGCGACTATCTGTGGTGGTGACGGCCCAGGGCAGACTTTAGCCTGTCTAACCTTGAGACTCCAGGGAACCACAGTGGCTAAACCAGCAAAACTCCGAAAAATTAGAGATTATGCTGGGGCTCGCACAACCAGTGAGGACAGACGATCCAATTATCCGAGTACGTTCAGATAGCGCGCTCAGTTCTGAGCATACAGTTGTCTCGCGCTCGGTTTGGTGCTTCGTTTTATTCAACTAGTGCATCTGGTTTTATATTCAAAGATTCCATAGTGAAGGTAAGGCGAAGTTCAAGGTTCACACATTTTTGTTCTTGGAGTTTGTAGTCACTTCAAACGAAGATGTATTTTTAAAGCATCTCAACCATAATATTCTCTAAGCGTGGTTTGAAAGTGGATCTTACTTAGGCTTAACTAGATTGTTTTGAGTCATACTCCTTCTTTTTGTTTAACTCGGGTGGCTGCTGCTTCGTAGTCACTGAAGATGACTAATGGAACAAGTTTGTTAGGAATTTTCTCCCGTCAATGTATGTCAGGAGTCTTTTCAGCAGCCTTCTTCTGTACTACACTCTGCTCTTGCAGCTTCGGAAAACAATATATTCGTTCAAGGAGCGGTGAACGAGATGAAGGAAGTGGAAGCAGTTCTAGGTGAAGAACTTACAAGACACTTCTCACTACAGGTACTTTCTCTTTATGGATCATTCTTAACTCTCTAAGAACTACTTCTGTTCAGGTCGACCTTCGCGTTTATGAAGATATGCTTGTGAAGCTGGAAAAAGGTGGTGTAAGTGCTTAATTGTTCTTATTGTTTGTTACATTATTGCAGAAGATTAATCTCAGGAACACAGAATGTCTTCCATCGGTAGGGTATCATTGAAAAGTCCGGTGATGGTGATGATCAACTTCGCGGACAACCCCACTGCTATCAAATGGGCGAAGCTAGCTATTCAGGTGAGTAAATAGTTCAGTAATTAGCATAAGCTGCACAATCATTCGATTTAGAAGTCCCACCTTAGCGTTACTCCACAACAAGAAGGAGTTGTTCTATACGTACCCGTTCCAAGAATGACTAGAGAAAGACGAGAGCAACTTGCTCACGAAGCAAAAGGGAAGATACTGAACGATTACAAGCGGGCGCTAAATGATGTAAGTATTTTGGTGAAACTTTCTCTGCATTGTAGATGTATAAGAATCTATTAAGATTTACACACAATTCGAGAAGAAGTCAAATCAATCGATAACGAACCAAGACGAGCTACGTCATACACGTCAGTTGCTTCTCGATCTCAAGCACGCCATGGAAAAACGAGGCGTAGAACTCATTGATACGAAACGAAAAGAGCTGTTGACCGAGATAGTGTAAAATTCCACCTCAAGCATAACCACGTATATAGTGCAGTGTTCTATTCAAAGGATCTTGTGGAATATGATGTTCTTCTCAAAGTGTCTCCACATTGGTTATTATTTGGAAATGGAGAAATATTTTTGCAGAAATACCAAGTTTTCAATGACATCATTTCTATGGTAAATTTGGTGATAATGGAAACTTTACACTTGGAATATCCAATAAATAGTACATAATCCAGAGAGGGAAAACATGATATAGTTATCAATAATCGCATGAAAACTACGTAACAACTTCTTTGCTAAGGTCCATTCGAGGCAGCATCTGCAAATTTTGGCTTCCACCATTCAGACTTTTATGTCGCCTAGCTGCCTATATCCTTTATTGTCGATAACAACCACCTGAATTTAATAATGGCTTAAAAACGTTCTCCGGTCTCTCTTCGGGTATCACAGGAATACAAGTAAACATATGAATTACACAATGAATCACCAACCGTTTTTAACACCTACTACACCTTAATAACATCGTTGCAAGAGCGAGAAAGATTCTCTAACCCACTTTACCAATGGTCAGGCGTCAAAAACCAGTCGAAAATAATAAAATGCAAGCGATAAAACTTTTAGAATAAGAAGTACCTTATATCCTGGAAGGTTTGCAACAAACCTTCGTTTTGCCTCAGCAATACATTTATTGAGAAGTGCTAGTCCTTCAGCCTCGGTCATATCTACAATGGCACATTGTGAAATATATGATTACGTGATTAGCCACGCCCTTATAACAAATGGTAAACTTTAAGATTTAGCAAATTAACCATATTCTAGTTGGGCCAATCTCGTCTAAAACAGGTACGAAACAGTGCCCACCTTTCTTGTACTCTCGATCCATTATGGCATAGCAAAAACGACCACAGAAACCACGAAATAAGTAGGGCTGGAAAACTGTAGAACATAGAATATACGCTAACTCTTTCAATTTTCAAATAATTCAAAGGCGTAAAATTTCCTACAAGTAGAGGATCACCTGGCTGCTCAATCCATTGCCCAAGTAGTCAATCGAACCAAGAAAGGCCTTACCCTCCTTGTCGTCATATCTAAACTCGTGCAATAGAAATGTAACGACCGGCAAACGATTTCCGTGCACTACTCTTTCGAAAAAGAGAAGAATTTGAGGATTCTGAAATAGAGATGCCGTGCAGTACCCTCCAAGCAGTACGTCAACCGCATAGTGCTCCTCGGTACGCAGCGCCTCGGCTATTCCGCGACGAATCCAGTGATGTGCACTATCTGGGCATAACTCATAACCTGAACAGAAAACAAACACTCCTGGTAAGCGACTAACAGATAGTTTACGCTGTCGTACCATTTCGAATTGCATAGAGCCTAATATTTCGTTTGGTCCAGTCACCGAACTGTGCTACATCGCCTTCTTCTCCAATACACATCATCGTTAGCTTTTTTCCAAGACGATACTCCTTGTCATTCTCTTAAAAGTTGAAGTTAGCCATATATATATATATATATATATATATATATATATGGCTAACTTCAACTTTTATATGTATATGGATTCTTAGTTATTTACTAGGAGAAAATGAAAGATACATGTGCCGAAACAATACTGTACAGTCATATTTGCTATACAATCAATTCAGGAGAAATAGAAAAAGGATAAAAGCTCTCGGCGTTCATCAATGCCTGAGAGATGCGCCATACATTCGACTTCGATAAGCATAATTGGAGGTGAATGAATGCATATGCGGCCTTTACAATGACTTGCGGTGGCCTACTGCTGTATACAGTCAGTGCTGTCATCCTCTCAGGGAAGTCTGGTACTAATTTCCGACCTCGGAGGGACGGAGGGCTTGGTGGCCTGGGAGCGCATGGATGGATTCCGTGTGTATTGCAGGGCGCCTCCGACCACTGTGCCACATGCGCCCTTGAGAAATCGGAAGCCATCATTTATAACGTGTGTTAATGCCACATCAACAATACCTACGTGGCAAAGCAAAGGTAGCAGAAAGGAACAGTAAATAAACACATACCACTATCTGCTAGAACAGCTCCATAAGCGAATGTAGCTTTGTCGCTGGCCAAAAGAACATAGTTGTTGGTGGAAATGCCAATGAGGAAGTGCATTCCACCAGCCATTTTTTCTAAAGATACTACAACTCAGAGGTGCGATGCTCACGTGGAAAAACAACCCAGGGATTACTCACAAATCCACTGACGAAGAAACAATATATTTCATACAAAAGGTTCCACATTGAAAACAAGACATTTTAGAGAAAAAAGAATGGTTTTCAACTGTCGGCCAACAATCTGAGAACCCAAGGGAGTGAGAACAGTGCGTAAGGAAAGAGAAATTCATAAACAAAAGAATTGATGATTTTAAAAATTCATCCAACGACACGTTGAGTTACAGACGATAGGCATGTGTTTTGGCGCTTAGTGGAGCTTCGGAAGCCCACTTCTTGAATTGGGATAGAGTTACCACCATATTCAGGTAGAATTGACGTATTCATATAGTGAGGAAGCAAAAATCACAATGAAATTACATAGGGAGACCGAGTTGTTCTATACGAAGCGAAATTTCTGTCACTTAGACCATACTTGGACACTTGGACGGCCAGTCCTCACTACTTGTTCGGGTCCCAGCACAATCATTTGGAGTTTTGCTGGTCCAGCCATTGTGGTTCCCTGGAGTCGCGAGGTCACTCTAGCTAAAGTCTACCCCAGATCGTCATCACCACAGGCAGTCGTAGCCCTTGTGGATCAGAAGGAAATTTATCACCACGTGACAAGTTTGATACCAAGACTATGGTGGATCCTGGCATTGGTTTACTCTTAACTCGACTTCCTGATGGAAACGTGCTCCTCAACTTGGGACTCCTGCGGTGGGGATGAGTCCCCGCTGTACATTGCAACCCGACAACGAGGAAGACCTCTTAACCACGATGGGACGGTAAGCCGTCCAGAGGCACATGGACGATAATAGGCATTAAGTCACAGTGTCGTTAAAGAGGATCTTATGTGAAGTGATCTTTACCATATTCAGCTTAATGGTTCAAAGAAGTGATACTGAGAGCAATCCGTCAAGTAATGTCATCAAAGAGAGGAAGTGATGCAGAATAACCTGTTCAGCGCTGATCAGCACCTGTGGGATAACTACGTATTCGTCCCGATAGGCATCGCGTAACTGATTAAATTCATATCTGGCGTTCCCTCTCTGTCCCTCTCTTCCTCTCTCTTTCACTCTCAGACTCTCAAATCAGCAGAGTCTCAAATGCCTGAAAGATGAGCAGCTAGGACAGAACCAAGGAAGTTGTGTGCATTGAGACGCACTGCTAACAACTTCGCTACACGCGCATTATCGTCCTACTACCTCTTTTCACTCCACTTCAAATATATACGCTTGTTGTTTTCTTGATTTGCACAGACGAGCTTGTTGTTATACAATATTTATTTACAGCAGATGGCATTTCGACGGATTTCGCCCTCTTTTGGGACTGGAAGGTCGCGTTGACCGTCATCTACCCAGCGAAACACCTCAGTAGCCAAACAGAGGAAACACTAAACCAAGGTTTCAATCGTCGTACTGGAAACAAAGCATCTTCTTCGCACACTCACAGCTTCCTTTGAGTCCTCCACTTAGTATGTCACGCGGAGACCAACCGCGCAGAGTTCGCATGGAAGCGTAATATGGCTCTCACATTAAAATATCGGCCTCAAATACTGTGTGAGATCAGGCGTGTTAACGAGGCATTCCTCTCTCCAGTTCATTTTTGGATTTTTGCAATTTACACACAACGCTTCTAGGGTTTTACGCGCCGATTTCTTCAATTCCTGGACGAAGATGGCAATTTCTACTACAAAATCTTCTACGTTATATTCATGTGTACCATACGAGCCAAGCAGAGTATTTGGTTTAAGTTTATTGACTAGATGTTTGTACGGAAGCAGAGTGGTCTACCCGTTTCGCCAAGGTATTCGTCCACGCGCACGTTACAAGTGATCAGATCAACCGTACTCGAACTCGTGCAATTAGCGTCTCTACCGTTAGGGCGAATTATGCAATGGCGCTTTGTGCATAGACGGTCATTCAGGCGGTTGCGAACTACCTGGAGTTAAAGTGCTCGGTGGCATTCCAATTACGATTACTGAATTCTCTAAACTGGTCCTTCTTAAGCAACGTTTTATAGCCGCAATTATTTCATTTGATATGAAGGGCAGAATAAACGGTGTGTTATTCTCGCTGAAATTATCCCTTGTGGCCCTGCGTATTCCTGTACACCTATCCCGAGAAGCTACAGCTTCGTGACCATTGGAAATGTCTATTTGTTGCCCCAATTTTAGGGGTTCTCCCTCGTGTCCACTTTCTGTGCACACACTGATGGATGTTCGAAACGTGTTTCTTATAAGTGCTTTTTTTTGTGTGAGGCCTGAGAGAAGAGCTAATGAACCAGCACGTATTTGCTACTTGGTTTTCGTTGCACTTCGTTATGTAGCCGTTTTCTAACTTATCTGGGTAGTTGGGTAGCCTGCTCTCACTGGTTGTGCCTGTTCCAACATAATTTGCAATCGTTTCTCCCTCGCGTAATCGTCGTTCATGACGGTAGTCTGCTTCGGAAATGGTGATGTCCACGAGGGCCATTCTACATCTCTGAAGGCATTTTCACTTGCAAATGCGGATGGTTGACGTTAGCCACGAAGATGTTCGCCTATCATTTGGATGGTCTTTCAAAAGGACGCTTGCCATCTCTTGGAGGCATACACTACTCTTCTTTTCGTCCATCTGTCACCGGCTCTTCTTATTATGTGAAAAACCCACCTGTGTTTCACAATCGATATATGTTTTCCAGGGTTTCGAAGATGGGGTAGGTTTTGAAGATTTGAGCTGCGCATTCTGACTTAACGTTATGAGTGCCGGTTAGGTTTCGGTAGGCATCACTCAGGTTCCCCTTACGTGGGTGTAGTATAAGTTTCTTGACGTGGTTGAAGTATCAGCACTCATTTCCGCTGCATAACAGAGCACTGGGAGAACTGTTTAATCGAAAAGGTAACCGGGTGTTTGCTATCTGTTATCTGGTTCGTGGCCTCTTAGAGAATCCCGAATGAGGTCCAAGGTTACCTCATTCTTCTGCCCAACTCCTCGTTCGTATTGTTTTCTATAGCACGTCTAAGGTAGAAAACGAGATGCTCTATATGATCAGTCAACCATCTAGTTCGATTTGCTCGCCTTCGAACCAAGGGTTGTTGATGAACCTTGTCCTTGCGCTATTTATGCGTAGTCCGAACTTTTTTGCTGCTTCGTTGAGCCTACTCTTCACCTGGCCATTACGAGTTTTATGTGGTCAGCTGGCTCAAGAAGAGCATAAAAGTCGGTATGAAAATGGATTGCATTCGCGTTCTAGGTGCAGACCAACAATCTCAATGACTTATCGTAACTGCAGTCATTTGGTATAGTTCCAATGACGTCTTGTATGACCGGGGGTTCGATCACCTATCATCGGTTTTCTCACCGCCAAACGTCGTAAAAGGGAATACGCCATGTCTAGGATACTGAATTCCTAGCTTTATCGGTTGAACGATCCTTGATTGCTCAGAGTTCTAGAATTGGCTTAGTAGAAGCTTTCCTCAGGTATTCGCCACGACATGCAGTCGCAGGCCCCATGGTTCAAAGCGAGATTTACTACTTTGTGATTAGTTTCGTGACTGGTGGGTGTTCCTGGGTACCAGGCTGCCATCTACGGCTGAGCATTCTGCTAGCATCGCCTCTCAGGCTGGGAAGGAGTCTGACATTTCCATCTGCAAGCCCAGTTAAGAGTTAACAAATACTACGAATCACCACCGTTAGAGTATCAAACTAGTAGCATGGTGGAAAATCTCCCTTTGATTCACGAGAGCGGCGACTGCCTGTGGAGGTCTGACTTTAGCTGACCATCTGCGGAAGAGTTTAGCTAGACTGACCTTGGAACTCATGGGATCCAAAATGGCTAAACCAGCAAAACTCCAAAAAAAATGGAAATTATGGTGGCGCCCGCACAACCAGTGAAGGGACGGGCCATCTAAGTATCCAGGTAAGTATCCGACCATAGGTGAAGTTAATATTTTCGTGATATTTTGTTAATATGAAAGTCTGTTTTTTAATGAATATCACTCTAGTGAGGGTAATTTTTTCTATCAACTTGAAACAAACATTTCTGGCCCGAAGATGATGTAACAAGCCGAGTCCGACTATTAGCCAACAAGCAATTTCCTTAAATACTTAATCGCTTTACTATTTCTGTGGTGAACGACATAATTTTTAGTTCAAAAACAGACCCTAATTTCACCTCGGCATAAACTATTAATATTTTCTTGGGTAACTAAACTAACACGGGGTTGGTGCAAAGTTTTACTCGGTAATTCTTTTGACGTCATCGTCTTCACAAGCAGATTGTTTCCAGTCGATGGTTCACAGCTGTTCCTCCTCTTGATAATCCGGTGAAGAAAGCATCGCTCTAATGAAAATGCTCCTTCGGAAGTGTTGATTTTTTTTGGATCATCGTTGCTCTGGAGAAAGCAAAGGCGTCGAGACGTTAGCTGAATAACATTTTGTGTCGACTTCTTGTATCTCAGTAGTTCAAGGAAATATTGGTGCTATTTTTATTAGATGACGTACTTCCCATGTGTGTAGCCAGATTTTTTCTTCACATGCTCTGCGTATCCTAGGCATTCCTTCATTCAATTCGTTGGCCTTTCTTTGTCATTCACAGAGGTCTTCGAATTGCGTTTGTGTTAAGCTGCTAACTGAGGACCTTCTTCTTCGTGAATGTTATTGGGTTCCGATTAGACTGACTTTCCACAAAATCCCGAGATAACTTTGCCATATCTTTTCCTATTTTTTCTCTAAAAGCGGTCATCAGAAGAAACTTATTTTAAAGAAATTTGATACCAATCTTTCGACGTCGGAAGGATGAGGTCGTAGTTGCATTGTGCCCGTTGGGGTGGGCGAACCAGTGACTACAAGCATTTTACACGACATCTCTAAACCCTGCTTTTCCTGTACCCTCAATAAAAGTAGTACACATTCGAGCTAAACTCTGTAAACTTTGCTGAACTCTGTACAGAGCCAATTTCCAGTTTTCCTACCTATCATTGTCCACAAAGTTAAAATAATTACACACATATATACAAATTTCATTTAGTTAAATCACAATGTTAACTTTTCATTAGCTGCCTATTACAATTTCCATAGCGACGTATTATGTGATATACAACCATAATGATGCTGAGATATCTACAAAACTCTGGAGTGCACGCGTTCACCACCACACCATGGGAGTTCTTCGTTTCGCTTGTCTTTCAGCTAGTTTTGGCTCGTTAACGGGATTAGATAAATATAGATTTATTAGATCGCCACTGGTAGATAGACAACTAGCCGAAAGGGGAAATGGTGGACCCACATGGTATAGTGGTCAACGTGTTAGCCTCCGGAAAGGACAGTAGCGCGTTCGTTTCTCACCGCAGATACCAGTAGTCCGGGGTCTTGCAAATATGTCAGCATTAATTTATAGGACTTCGGAGTGAATGAGGTTTAAGTTCAAGAGTTTCAAAGTCAATGGTACGAGGTGGAAAATTAAGATGGAAACTACGTAAACAACTTTAAGGAAGTATATCACAGTACAATTGAGAGCAGGCTGTTAACAAATAGGAAACTGTAGGAAGGAAGGTTTTTAGGTCAGGAGCAACAGCACAGGCGAAACGCTTTCCGTTGACAAATGCATCGCCCCGTTACAGAGTAGTGTGCAATCCAACGGCCGCTATCCATTATCGAGGCGTGCGTGTTTCACAATCCCGACGCAACATTCGCTGATTATCTGGACTTCATTCGAATTGCGATGTTTCGTAGTGATTACGTGATAATCGATAAGGTGGGAGTGAAAGTCATTCCAATGAAATGGGTCAGAAAGGAAATCACAAACCGTCACTCTGATATTTCGATATTTATATATATATGTCACTCTGATATGTTTCGTTAAAATTTCACCGCCTCCAGTTGCGATCTACATAGTAGATGAAACAGTAGAAGTTCAGAATCACTAGTAGTTCTCTTTAATCCCTCAAGAAGACGACAACTGACCAAATGTGCTGTTGCTTCCGAACACGTTTTTTATTATTCTTGATGTTCTGCCTCAGGTTAACACCTAGTGTTCACGTGAATTGATTTCCACTCACGGTGTACAAAAGTTGATGGCCGCTGTCGTTACCATATCTTAGTTCAAAGTCTACTTTATTACCTGTGATAATAAACATTAAATCTACAAACCTTTACCTACGAGAGAGAATCTTTTTCGTTTTACCATAGTGAAATTCTGATTTTCTGAAACCCGCGAAACGTTCTTGTGCACATCTTTTTTCTTTGTGGAGGCAAATGAACAAGCGATATCTTAGTCACTTAGAACATGATGGTGGACAGGAAAACATGGTTGATGTTTTTTCTTATTATGAGATTTTCTTTTTATTCGTTATTAGTCAAAAGGAATAGAGTTCAAAACTTGAAAAATGGAACTCTCTCGATGAGTCCAGCTTATTTTCGGTTATAAATGAAAATACACTGGTTGAAAATGGCTAAACAATCGAAACACCCATCAGTCGTGGTCCTTTAGCGGACTCCTGAAGACCATGCTGTACTTGCACAACTGATCGAACTGTTGTGCTCTCTATTCTCATCGAACGTGGCTCCGTCGGATATGAATAACTCTGTTATATAACGTAAAGTTCCCGGAATATCTGACATTCTTTGGTGCTGACCTTGTGCAAAGCTAATTTTGCATGTTCTTTACACTTTTTGTTCTTTTCTTCGTCGTTAACTAAGTAAATTGTTGTAGCTTTAGTTAGTACGGGATATCTTTAACATTTCTTTGTCACTCGAATTCTCAAGTACCGAGGTTTGACATAAGAGCACCGTAACCGTCTTATAGTAAATCGTTATTAACTTTTTTTTAGTATATCTCCATTTGAATCTGTGGACGCATTAACAACAAATACCTGAACACCTTGAATGATAATCGTAACATAAAACTACGGTCACTCAGAAGATCGCGTTTTTCAACGAGGTGCGTTATAAAATGGTATTTCTATCTTTTGTCTTTCTTTTGCAATTATGTTTTTTTTATTTTTGTTACTTCTGACTAAGCAACGACATTTTAGTGTTTTTTCTACGTTGCTTACAGTTCCTTAAATCTTCCGACGTGTTCCTTGAGGATGAACACTCGGCTATGGTAAATGCGCAGCCGCAGATTTATCGCTGCACTATTTATTCTGAAAATAAGTAAGTACCTAAGCCCTATTCTCTTATAAAGGGGCACAAGAACGTCAAAACACTTGGGTTTTTTCAGTATCAATCCATTCTCAGTTTTACTACACATTACCGCCGTTGAAAGAGGAAGGTTCAGGTATGCATGCTTGCTTGGAAATAGAAATAGAAAAGAAAATTGCTTACACATGTTAAAGAACTTGTAGATAAGTTAACTTTCCCACTTTTTTTATTTTTAGCTATTTCAGTGAGGATATACCTTAAAACCAAAGAATTTTTCCTAGTGTGGTTAGCTTTCTTCTTGTTTTGATGATTAACTATCAAGAACCGATACCGGGATCCGTCACCGCCCTGGTATCAAACAGGTCGCGTAGTGGCAAATCTTCCTCTGATCCACAAGGGCAGCCACTGACTGTGGTGGCGACGACCGGGGACAGACTTTGGCCTGGCTGATGTCAGGACTCCAACGAACCACATTGGCTAAACCAGCATAACCAAGTATCCAAGTAACTGTCAAAAAAGGAAGAGCTCTTAATTGAGCGCCAATAATGAACAACCACTAATCGAGGATTCGTTGTCAATTTTCTGCCATCTTTTGGAACACTTACTAGTTGTTTTCTGTCATAATTCGCCTCTGCTCTGTCTTCGTTTCTGTTAGAAAGTTCACCACGAAGAAGTCTCTTATGCTCAAAAACTTTATCTTGGTTCTTATCATGGAATTAAGGCATTTGTTGCACCATCTAATTATTTGAACCGATTAAATGGAAAATACCCTAAGCAAAACAATTTAGCGACAAGCCATCCGCCTCCAGCATATTCAACAGACAGCCCACGAGGTATATTTCATTACAGTAATACAGACAACACTTTCGACTCGAACTTCAAGATCCCCAATTTCGAAGCGGTGGGTTTAAAGGAATTACTGATTTCGATTCCATAGGCAATAATTCCAATAATGGTCAGCTGGATTGTCAAATATTCTAACAGTTATAACTTGCCGACTGTGTTATATTTACCGTACCTTGTATAAAAATGGGCCGCTGCAGTTATGTGGGGAGATTTTTTGCTCAATATTTCTTGAAACTACTGATCCAGCACTTCTAACCACATGTAGTTTTGGGTTCATAGCGCTTTTATATGTACGTTGTAATACATTCAAAAATATTCGATTTATTAAGTTTTCTTCAAATGACGTAGTTCGCCCGTACGATCGATGCTTGTGGTCATTTAAACAGTCTCTTTCGTCGGTTGATGTACCTTTTGGGAAGTTTCGTTCATGACGAGTTAAATCCTTGTTCGATGTTCAGTTGGATCCGATGAAAGTGGCCAGCGAACTAATGAGTGCAGCAGCAAAGGCCGAAAATCGGCGGAAAGCCATGATAGGAATCTTCTTACCTCTACCGTTCGCTGGAAAACCTCTCAACTTCGAGGTAAACTTTAGGTTAGTTCCAGATCTCATAGCGTCAAACGCTCGCTTAGAATCGTATAAAGGCATATGGTGTTATCAACAAGAATTGAAACGTTGGTGAAACTGTTAAGATGTGTTAAGAAAAAACTGCTGCTGACCATTCACTGCACAATTAAGAACGGCCACAGGACTGGTTAAGCCATCTTTTTAAGCCAACTTTTTGTTATAATTGTGATTATAGCTGCGGCCTCAGCTTAACTGGGTTCGTTGCCGATTTGGAACCCCGAGATCAATCCCGCTGACGGGTGATTGCTGATGGCAAAAGATCGATAGAACTAGCTGAGAGACAAATGGAGCGAAGGAACAGCGTGGTGTGGTGGTGAACTCCCCGGAAATGACAATAGCGCGTTCGTTCCTCACCGCATACACCTGCGGCCCGGAGTTTTGCAAATATCTCAGCATTATCAAAGTTATATTTCGCAATGTATACCCTGCCGTTAAAAGAGTAGGCAGTAGATAATAAGTTAAAATTGAGAGGTTTCTAGTATTTAGTTTTCTATTCTAATGTTGTTTTTGATGTGTGCCTCAACTACTGGAGATCATCATCTTGGTAAATGGTTTCTTAAGTACTTTATTACCTTCAAATCCTGCAAATTCGAGAGTAGCTCTCATCAGTCTACTTGTTTAACACCTTATCGCATACCACGTATAGTTCCTCGAACGTTCTGCTACTGATCCTTTGTGGACTATCATTCTTTCATCTTCAATCGTCAAGAAAAATCTGGGTTCAAAATGTTTTGTTTATTGTGTTGATTTTACTCTTCAAAATCCAGTTTTGTTTTTTTCGACAGTGTAGTCCAACCTAAGCACTTCAACACTGTCATTAAGAAGCTTAGCAAAGACCAAATCTATGTCAAGATTCTATGATATCCTGAAAGAAAGCCAACCAAGTGGCGGAAAATCTCCTTTCGATCTGCGAAGGTAGGGGCCCCCATGGCCTACAAAGTCTTCCATCCCTACGGGGTCGACAAATTGGTACCGGACTTGTCTGGGAGGATAGCAGCACTGGTTTGATACATCGCTAGGCCACCACGTCATTGTAAAGGTGAGAAATGTTTTCAACCATCTCCAACAATACTTAATAAAATCGAATGCATGGCGCATCCCTCAGGGATAGATCAGCGCCGAGAGCTTTAAAAAAAGAGCTTTTATTACGTTCGCTACATTTTTACCCATCGTTGCAATGCCATAATCTTCAAGTAGTGTAAGCAGCCGTTATTATAGCGTCCGTTCTAGTCGCGCGACAAAACTATCAAGAGATTTCATTTGCTTGATACACGAAAAGTATCGTAAAGATTCCATTAGATTTCATCTTTATTATTTTTTGACAGGAGGGTCACGAAGAATGTGAAATTTTTGTGGAACTGTTAGTAATTATTAATCAACTTTCCAGATACAAATACCCAGCTCCTTTTCGGTTTAGGTGAGTTTAGTGGGATGAACCCATCTCGGCACTTCACAGTATGATATTTAGGAACATTTCCTCAACATTGAGGTGGTAGGGTTTTAAGCGGTGGTAAAAAGTATTGTAACGTACTTTAAAGACTAGTTCCCACGTGTTGCATAATCCATGACTCTTTTTCCTCTGTTTCCCTATCTCGAAACCATCATCTGTGGTACTAATCACGTTCTTGCGTAGTTTCAGCTGCTGGTGGAAGATCTGAAAGGTGACTCAGATTAAGAGTCTGCACTAATGCTCGGCCTTTGTTATATATTTTACTAGGTTTGGAAGAAGAAATTTTTTGGCAGATTTTATTTGATTTGAAGGACTAGCTTAGTGTTAACTACACCAATCTGGCACTGATCTTGTCGTCCGACTCGCCATAGACTTTGTAAAATGTCTCATGTTTCCTTAGAGCCTTTATAAATCCATTTAGAGCTCTTCAACCCAGTATTCGCTATGGATGTTGGAGAGTGGATGAAAACTGAGAAACCGGTTGTTGCTCACATTGTTTTCGAAAAGAAATTTCCGACTTGGATGATTAGTCCACCAAAAAGGTTAATGTTCACGGTCAAGCATGCGTCGGCGAAGACATGAATCTCTTCTTGGCTGCCGCATATATCATTTGTATGTAACCAATACAACGATCAAAAAGTTACATAGATGTATCGATTGTGCAGGATCATCTACAGCTGAGGCCAACTAAGTTCTTTTTAGGCAAGAAATTAGTAAGCAGAAAGGATGAAGTTGGAGAGGACGAATAAGTTTTTAACCCGTTTAGCTTTTTTTTTCGTCCATGTATTCCTCTGTACGGGTCCTTTCCACCAATAATAAAACGATGAGTGTTTAAAAAAGGATGTTTATTATGCGAATGCAAATTTATGTGTTAAGTCTTATCTGCGAAGGCTATGAAAATATTTGACTGAGTAGAGGGCATGTCAATTTAACTTTTCCAGACTCCGAAGAAGGCGAAACCGCCGTGTCATGAGCTATTGCATGCCAATAAATTCTATAATACCGAATTCGCTACACATTAGATGAGAATAGTGTGATAAACAGTACACATGTGACCTGCTTGATGAAATAGAGAGTAGAGGTGTTCCCCCTTTAAGAGGTAGAGAATAGGGCATGTTTCGAACAGTTCTGTATTATCATAATTGGAATTTGATGAATAGTGTCTTCTTGTCACAACCACTACATATTTGTTTTTTAAGCCTGCATTATTAGGTCAGTAGTAGAAAATTCAGATTCTAGTGTGCTTGCTTTATAATTACGGATCTTCATTACTGTTCCTCTAGAATTAAGTGGCTTAGAATGCATGTGAGATTTTAACAAGTTCTCTGTATTCGTATAAGGGGTACTGCTTTAGAGGGCCCATTCAGGTCAGAGGGAATTTGGTATGACTTTTAATGTTTTTAGCAATTGATGTCTACAGATCGCCTGTCGAACGCTTGTTTGTAAGCTCGATATACCCACGGATAGCTTATCCGGACTCCCTCGTAAAAGACGAGTAGCTTGTTTGTCGGATAGGACTCCGACGTGCTCGGGTGCTCGGGTGCTATATCTATAAACCCTATAAATGGACGTGGGGTGAGAAAGCAAGGACACATTCTCTGAAACCATCTCTTTCACGCTGCACGCTTTAACATAATGTTGTACACCTATTTGCCACCACGCAACAGTCTAGCGACTGAGACGATGAGGATCTTACAGTAAGGAAGATCCATGAAGTGTAAGGAGTTTTGCTCAAATTCTTTTAATCTATTTCGCGTGAGATTTACGCTATTTTAATAAGAACTAAAAGTAGCAGATACGAATATTTAGAAAAATTCGGAGTTAACTTCAACAATATTGTTACAAATATTGTTTTATTGACGGTTGCTAATATCAAAGTTGCATTTGGCCATTGAAGTATGAAAAATGGCGCAGTGCAATTTTGGTTTCAGTGGTTTAGTGACAGATGCAGCGACCCTGAAAATAAGAAGGATCTGCTGGGCGTACTTTCTTCAGCGTTAACCACTAAGAATGTCAATAGATGCTCATTCACACATTAGTTCGAGAGCTTGCGTAATATCCAGGTATGAGAAAAAAAATGATTTTGGAACAGAACCAAAAAGTTGAAAACTCATGGAAACGACGGAAGTCTGGCATGGATGGAACGTAAAGCGAAATGGTCTTCGTTACAAGGTCTGTACTGACTTTCTGTTCCCCCACAAACATGACGCATTTTCTGATCGCATTCTGATATAGGAGGAGAATGGATCGTATGCTGTAACCGACCATGTTCTACTTGCAACTGGACAGAAGCAAAATACCGAAATAGCTTCTGAAGTTAAATTTGGTTATAAGAGAGTTACCAGAACTCCATCATGTTTAGTGAGATGAGTGAGATCATCCCGCAGGGCTTCCAGTCCTGCTGAATTAGCCACAGTGGAAATCTGTCGTTGACATTTGCTTGTCAGGATGTTGTCAAGCGGACCTATGAGAACTTTATTGATTCCGGAAACAAAGCGAACCTTTACATGAAAGGAACACAGCCCGAACATGTGGGGAAATTCATGGCAGTGGCAACGATTCCTATTTTGAATAACAAAGTTGCTTTTTTGAAAAGCTGTAACCTTTGCCTTCAAAACCAGGCCTTTCATACTGAATAATCATGAAACTGTTGATATAATAATAAAGTTCTAATAAAATTTGAGCAACCGGTGAGATTCTGACGAAGTTTGCAAATTCGTCAAAAGTGGAATATCATCAGCATCTTTCAAGCTCGCCAAATTCCAGATGATTAGTTCCATTGTATATCATCGATGGCTTTAAGGTTAATCAAATTCTAGATGACGAGCGAGTCGCGGAGTGGTTTGTCGTTGAGTGAGAAACAGACGACAGAAGACAGCGAAAAGAGTGGGGCTGATCTCACACCAGAAGCCAAAGAGACCTTCATGAAGGCTAAGTACATTTGTCTTCATTCAAGCACTGCATCTTGTGACGAGGTAATAATGCCTGCTGGCACATTTCCAAAAATTGAAATAAGGGTTATCAGGTGTCCCTCTGACCCGCTACCCCGCGAAGTTTCATCGCCTCGTTGAAAGGAGGTAATGGATTGTTCGGTGTCCCAGACAGAGGAAGAGTTTGAAATTTTTTTTCGAAAGCAAACATCCGTCAACGGGATTGATCTGGGCAGTCCAAATCGGCATTGAACCCAGTTAAGGCTGCAGTCGGAATCACAATGTTAACTCTCTCATTTATTTTTTACTTGAACTGCTATATCTATCTCGTTAACAGGTGATTTCTGACGGCAATGGAAGGTAGAAAACTAGCTGAGAGAAAGGTGAAACGAAGGACCCGCATGGTGTAGTGGTGAACGCATTAGCCTCCAGAAAAGGTAATAGCGTGTTCGATCCTCATCGTAGACAAGCGCCGTCTGGAATTCTGCAGATATCTCATCGTTATTGTGGTTTATTTCGTATAGTTACGGTTGCAGAAGTGTGTTGGAAGTATCACATGCTCATGGTTCTAACCTTCCTAAGCAAAGAAATTGTGTCGCAGAATGGCATCTTCCGGCACCCCCAACACCCAGTCAACTTTCGCAGCTCAGACGGTTGTTAAATGTGTTTTAGATCCAAGAGAATACATCGAAAACAAATCATAGATGGGCCTATTCCCGTCATGGAAACTGACGACGAAGGGTAGACGATGCGGATGGTAGAGCGAACACCGTTCGCCTTTAAATGTCCACTTATGCATAATGTGACTGCGGCTTTTCACTCAGCTGAATGCGATTTGTGAATCACGAAGTGATATATGCCTTGGGATACTTGAAACTTGGAGCAGTCCACTACCACGGATGACGATTGTGAGTAGACGCTTTGAAAAAAAAGTGTTGGAGCCAACATTATTCGTAAACACGAACCATCAAGCTAGTTCCTATGTAAGATAAAAATTTGTACAAAGTTAATGAAACACTATGAGGTTCCTCAGTCGTTCGAATATTTCAAGCAGAGCACCCTATGGGACCCCTGGATTTTGGAATGGTTTTCGCAGTAGCTTTGAGCTTTGACTTTGATACTTTCGTTTAAGATTGTTATTCACATACTCGCTGGACTTTGTTGGATAACATCATCTTTGAATCACTTTTTTTAGGCCCTCGACACATTTCATCGCGTGAGATTCGGCACTTCACTTATGAATTCCGATAGCTCGCATGACGTTGTCAACGAAGACCCAACTACCTCATTTGCAAAATTATTCGTTCCCGGCCTTGAACAGAAGCTAGAAGCGTTACGAAAAGTGGGTTCCATATAATTTCCTAGTCATTTAATGCCTTATGAAAGCAATGAAAAGTGGAATCGAGTGGAAATGTAAAGAAGACAGTTACAAATAACGAACACATAGACATCTACTAAGGAAGAATGTGGTATCTTAAAAATGGATAAATTTCAGGACGTAAGCAATCACCAGTCGAGCGAAGAGTCAGCGAATTCCCATGAAGAAGATAGCTATACTGAAACGTCGGCTGGGGAGGCTATGTCACGTCCCGATCTCTACACTGTCAGAGATCGTCACCGTTTCTCTAACTTGCAATACCCAGTGAATCAATCCCAGCCAAGTATGGCGAAAATGCGCAATTTTCTGGAACGAATTACTCAGAGGAGGATCATGTAAATTAGGTGGTAAAGTAGTCTTAGCGATAATTATGTGCGGTAGGAGCATGATCATAAGCTGTTCAAGTGGAGTTCAAAGTTTTTCTTTCAAACCTTGAGCTTTAAGCGGGTTTTTCAAGTGGGCGAGGAATTATGTGCGAAACAAATGTATTCGGCGAAATCAACTCTCTACAAGCTTTGCTCGCTCGGTTAAATGATACCTTTAGTAAAGGAGACAGCATAGAACTGTACAATCCAGTTTACAACTGTTCAGTTTCAATAACAGGAAAAATTCCGGATTTTTCATTACAGAGGGAAATTTCGGTAGAGGTCATACCCAGTGCTCTGAAATCAAGTAAACAATGAAGGTTGTTCTTCTAATAATATGGCTACTCTTTGCTGTGTTTCTAAGACATATCCGCAAAAGTTTTATGGTTTCAGAAAGTTCTGCTGTGTTAGGTCAGACCACTCTGCACAAAATCTTTAATGAAAATGGCTTTTTGATTTCGCAGTGATTTTCATGGAAATGCCCTGTAGAATCTTAAGGGCACAGAAAGCGCTCTTAGTACAATATTATACGTTAGAACAATGTCGGTGCATACCGAAACGCCTTTCCTTGACGTTTTCCTGGTTAGTACTCATGGTTACGATTAATGTGAACGCTCTTTGCAATTAATATTGACAATCCAATACTGGTTGATAACCTAAAATATGCCGGACGATGAGTCTGCTTAACGCGCTCCTTTTCTGCTGTCCCTAATAAGGTAAGTTGGTGCTTTAGATTCACCAGTTCAGCAAGGTTGTAAGCCAGCCTCATTTTTCTCTTGTGGGGCATACTTCTCTAAGCACCTTTTCTTTTTCCTTTTGCTTTTTACGCCATAATTGTGGATAATGCTTTTATTAATGCCTCTCGATGGAATTAATCGTTTCGCATGGAACCTCACAACAAGATGCCAAACCCTAAACGCTGCATATTGCGTGTTTATATTGTTGAGCTTACACGAGGCTGTTAGGGATGTTTATTTGGCCAAGGTTTCGATGTCTCGCGCCTCCATCAGAGCCGGAAATCCTTGTCGATGGTCCACAGTTGTTCCTCTTCTCGATGCGGCGTCTTCGTCTCGCATCAATCCACATCTTCCTCAGTTGAGCATCTCGAATGAGCCATCCTCACCCTGCGACGCTCTTTTATAGTGTGGACTATCGACGAGGATCGTTGGCTCTGATTAAGACGAAGGTATTGAAAAGTTAGCCGAATAAACATCTCTAACAATCTTGCTTAAGCTCAACAAAATAGACACATGTTTATTGATACAGTACCGAGCTTAAAGGGAGGTTGGTTTCAAAATTACTGTTTTGCTGCAAATTGTTTCATTACGAAATCACTCTTTACCTCTTCATTGAGCGCAGAGTTGTACTGCACAGATGTAAACCATCATTAGAAGCGCTTTAAAATACTTCGAAAATGAAAACATGATCTAGCAACCAAGATCTGGCACAGCCTTAATGTGAAATGGAATTTAAAATTACTACTATTACACTTAACATGTTTATTTTATCACTACATGACCCGACATCACATGAATCACAGCATAATGATCCCAGCAAATCTTTAATTCGATTCGATTTCTCGCATCCATTGCTACTTGTCCCAGACAAGTCTCGTACCACCTTACCGATCTTGCGGAAATGAGAGGCTTGGTGAGTCCCGGACAGGTGGAACCAGCGCCTACGTAACCCTCTCCGTTCACTTCACTTTACATCAAAACACCCAGTCTTTGACATTAAGTTCTCCATCAAAACCCTTGTAGTATTGCAAACTTATCGACTTCATTACCGTTTTTAATATCTCCAAATACGGCTAACCAAGGATCTATTCCACTTCAGCATTTGGCGATACTCGTTTTGTTGATTGTCAACATCAGGAAGGAGCCTGTTTTGCTCAACATGGTTTTGTGAAATTCAATAATGACATTATTACCACAAACATTGTTGAAATTCGTTCCATCTGGTTAATTCTCTATGCCATGCGAACGATGTTATTTGCCAGTTTAGGGTGCCGAGGCGTTAGCCAAATAAATTTTTTGTGCCAACCTTGTGTTAGCTTAGTCATCTAAGAAAATATTTATTAGCTATTTCAAGGTTAAAAGAAACTCAATTTGACAACGTTGTTAGCATAGTCAATGGCCATCTACAGTTGATCACTTGTAAAATAGCACTAACAAAGTTTCCGCTTGTTTCTAACGAGCGCAAGACAGTCCAGTTCGTCCTACTTACTTTAGAGAGTCGCTGAGCATCACATTCTTTTTAGGTTCATTGTTAAGAGCACTGTTAAAAGAGTCGGTGCGTTTCCTACTGTACTTCTGAGATCCCGCGGAATTCAGTCGCTAACGCTCCCTGTCTCTGCCGGTTGTCATTCAGACGCACAACAAATTGGGGACACCTGATTTTCGACACCTTGCTGTGTACAGCGGCATCTCTAATCGTTGAGGCTGGTCGATACTTCGAATTCCCTCTAACTTGAGTCATACAGGTTACTATAAGCGTTTACAGTAGTTACCAGTTTAGCACAACGGCATTTCTGTCAGAGCAAACACTGCTGTTCATAAGTGCATCTACCTGGATGGTCGTTTTAGAGAGGTTGATGGCAACGATCAAACTTTGATCCAGCTGAAATGTCAAGTACTTTGTATTGCTGTGTATGCTAACGAATGCATTGGAAAATTGTCTCCTGAACTTTTGAAGTAGCAGTTATTGAAAAGTTACGTACCATGAGATTTAATTAACTACATGTGAACAAACAGAACAATAACAGTGAAGTCTTTACAGGGAAAGTTGTGATCCCGATAAAAACTAAAAGATGAAAATTCTCGCCGTTGATCAGTCCTTGACGGATGTGTCATGCATTCGACTTCATTAAACATCGCTGAAGGTGATTGAATGCATTGTCTGGCCTTTATAATGATTCGCGGTGGCCTACTGATATATCGATCCAGTGCTGCTATCCTCGCGGACAAGTCTGCTACCAGTTTGCCGATCGCGGAGAGAAGGAAGGCCTGGTGAGCATTGGGATCGATCCCATATGTATTGCAGGGAGCCAGTGACCACTGCGCTACACGCGCTACTGACCATGATGCAACAGGAGAAATGCCAACACGTAACACAACCAAGAAATGCATTGGATTAACGCCAAAACATCCAAAAAGAACGCGAGTGCTTAATAGACATGTGTGGGATTTATCTATCAAGCTATGTATCTTTACCCGACGTGGAAATTTCTTTATCTATTAAATCTACTATGCGGACCTCCCTCATATGAGGGATCTGCAACCGGATAGTCGCGAAGCTATATGGCGCGTCCTCAGGTGGCGGATACGGGGTTAATTGCGGACCAAAAGCGACCTTTGCTTCACCGAGACTCAGGTCGATCCATAGGATGGACTCCTTTCTTCTACTGCAAGATTTCGCACATACTTTCTGCATTTGCTAGGAGTATTCATGCATGTGTGTGTGGGTGCGTTCTCAGATTGTATTCTACGAGTCAATTTGGCCACAAGCTT